CACAGCGGGCGCCCCGGGCACGCAGGGTATCCGCGCCGCCCTGCGGCCGGGCCTTGGCTGGGCGCGGCGCCGCCGGGCGGGGCCGTCCTGCCTATTTTTCCCTCAGTGGGCTGGCTGCCCACTGCTTCCCCCATCTCTCTCTTTTTTTTTTCGTCCCTACAATTAATCTGTTAAGAGTAGCCTTGAAGACAAAATTAACCGGTCAAGACATTCCGGCCGCCCTCTATGCCGGGCAATTAGGACGCATCTAACAGGAGTATTCGGGCATCATAAGCAAACTCCATACTGTCAAGAATTTAAAAAAAAAAAAAAAAAAAACGAAGGAGGGAGACCTGGGAGAGGGTGTGGCCCAACGTTGTCTTCAGCTGTTTTGGAGCGAAGTTCAAGGAGCAAATAGTCAGGACTCCTAGGTCTTCCCGCCTCACTGAGTCGGGCAGGGCGAGGCAGGGTAAAGAGCACAGGCCTTAGAGTACGAACGCCAGTCTGCTGTTTACGAGCTGTGAAACTTTGGGCGAGACCCTTAACCTCTCTGGGCCTCGGTTTCTTCCTACAAAATGATGGGGTTGAGACAGGTGACCTTGTAAGGTCCTTGTCAGCTCTGGCACTTTTAATTCTTCTGCAGCGGTGATCCGAAGGGGCACTGTACTAGGAGGCAAGGAACTTGGGTTCTATTCCAGGCTCTGCCTTACTCTCGGTTTACCCGACTCATAAGTGGCGCTATCTGTACCCTTACAGAGCCCTTGTGAGGACGCAACAGGAAGATGCGTGAAGACTGCGAAGCGCTGTGCACGTAACACATCATAGTTTCGCTCCTCAGTTTCCTTACCTGTAAAGTGGGGGTGTTGCTAGGAAAGAAAAATAGAGCCGGGAACTCAAAGCTTTCCTGGGGCTCTATATAAAGCGCTGGGGTTTCCGGGACGGCTGGCGGCATCTGGCAGCCCCAATGGCCTTAAGATACGGTAATCCCAAACAATAGTCGGGGTCATTGTTTACAGTTATAAAACACATTCTGTCCTGAGCTTCATCCCCAAGGACGTGCGAGGCGATGCTGGCCAGACTCCTCCAACCGCCGCTGCCGCCCGCGGCAGAGTCCCCAACTCCGCCGGCTCTGGCGAGGAGCGTGGGGCAGGCGGGTGCGCACACTGACTGCAGGGGCTTAGGTTTTATTATTATTATTTTTTTCCTTTCCTCATCCCTGAGTCCTGTCTGCCTGTGTTTACGCGCCTCTCCCAGCAGGACTGAGTAAATGCAGTCCTTTGACGCAAAACCAATCAGCCCTTTTCCCAGCGGCAGCAGCAAAACCCAGAAACCTGGGGGTGGAGACGGTGTGGGAGGGAGCGCAGGAGAAGAAATCGTGACACTTTCTCATTCGCCTCTCTGTCTTTTCCCGCGCCACACAGGCCCCCGACCGCCTTAGCTAGGTCTTGAGGGGCGGCAAAGCGAGGCGCGGTCGGGGCCACCAGGGCCCTCCCGGGAGCAGCCGCGTGTCAAAGAGGCGCGAACAGGACGCACTTTTGGTTTTCCTTTGAACAGCAGCGGCTGCCCGGCCCTCCCCCACCCCGCGCTCGAAAATCCGGGTGCTTCTGGGTCTCTCCCACACAGGCCTTCCAGTAACGCAGGGGGAAAGGAGGAGGGGGAAAGGGAGCGGGAGCTTCCTCCGCGGCCTCCGCGGTCCGGGGCGCGCCCAAGCCTGGGCAGGCGCCGCAGAGAGTGCGCGGGCGGGAGAGCGCACCCTCGCGCCCTCGCCCGCCCCCGCCCTGCCTGCTCCCCAGCCCTTTCCTTTCTTGTGGGTTCCCGTAAAGCCCAGCAGCCCTGAGACGTCTGCAGAGCATCACGGAATCTGTGCTGATGCAAGTCGCTAGCCTCCCTTTGGTGCGCCCCGGGCTGCCTCGGAGCGCTTTGATCCCGGGCTTCTCCTGCTCTAGAACTTGAGTTGGTTCCCTGTCCGCCGGGAGGTGGGCCTTCAGCAGCCTGCCCTCACCTTTCTGTCCTTGGAGCACCAGACACACACAGCTGCACCCCGGTGCTGCGGGGACTGACATGCTGGTCCAGCTGATGCCTCAGCCAAATTGTGTCTGCCAAACCACGTGTTCCACCTCCAAGCCCAGTTCACTGCCCCCTCTGCGGAGAATCATTCCAGGATCACTCAGTTAGAAAGGGTCCTCTGGGTCTCTGTAATAACGTACTAAGAAGAGAGGCCAGCCTTGAGCGCTCACCAAAAGTCAGACACCAGGCTGAACACTTTATAGGGATTGTCTCTGTGCAGTCCTCCCAGCAAACCTTTGAAGTGGGTATTATTACCCGGTTGCAGATCAAGAAAGTGAGATTAAGGAACTTGTCAAGGACCATTGGTTGACCGACTAGCGACCCAGTTGGAAGTGCAGTTGGGCCTCTATGACTCTAGGCTCTTCTTCTTACCCAGGATACAGCATGACCTGCCTTCTACCAGAATGTCTGTTTCTCTCACTAAACTCCAGAAAGCAAAGATTTCATCTGGTCATGGCTTTGTCCTACACATAGAGCTTTGTCCTACACATAGAGCGTCTTAATTCTCTGCTGAATGAATAAACAGCCTAGCACCATCACTCAGCCTAAGAAAAGGTCACAGCAAGTGAGGGACCAGGAATAGGTAAGCTGACGTGGGGAGAGGAGGATAGGTTGGGCTGTCCTCTCATTGTGGGGGGTTCTGGGACTTCCCTGCCCTGCGTTTGCCAATTTCCTCCTTTGTCCCTCCAGTCCGATGTTTGGCTCCCAACCTGAATCCCAGAATGGCTGCCTCTTCTGGGCTGCAGTGTCCCACACACCTGAGGGCTGGACAGTTCATGAAGCCCTTTCATATACCTGGCCTCACTTGTCCTTGTACACTACATCCCCGGCAGGGAAGTGACAGCAGTTGGGGTGACTGGATTGCCAAAGAAGAGGCTGATAGCAAGGCGGCCATTCCAATTTCCCAGCCTGTGCGTGGCAGAGCCTGGACTCAGACACGTCTCACCTGACTTTACACCCCCTGCTCTGCCCGGCACCCATGCTCCCAGCCTTACCAGTTCAGAAGCAAACTCAGTTTCTTAATGATAAATGGTCCTCTATCCATCACACCTAAGCAAATCTGCCATCATTTCTCTATAGTAAGCCATACATTTGGATGATGTTTTAATATTTCTGAAAGCCAGGTACATCTTACAATCAATGACTGATATGAACATGTTTCTGTTTGTCCAAAGATCTCGAATCAGGAGTCCAGGAAACAGACTTTAACCCCATGGTTCAAAGGGAGAGGCTTTAGTGGAGAATTTCCATATAGAGCTGTGGGCGGGGCTAAGAGAACACAAGGATCTTGCAACACCTAGAGCCTAGGAGCAGGTGGAAATCTGTGACCACCCCAACGGTGAAAAGGGGAAGAAATAGTGTTATTAGAGCCAAGTGTGCACATGGAAGAGGGCCATGCGGCAAGAGGGGAAGTAACCAGAGAGAGTGCTGAAGGGGCTTGGGGAAGGGGTATCAGGCTCACCCCAACCCCCTCACCCCCCACCCTTCCCCTGCAGCGGTCTCTGGCGGAAGGCAGTCCACCAGGCAGTCATCCTTTCAGGGCACAGAGAAGGGCAAGGAAGGGTGTGGAGAGTGGGTCTGGTGCGGGTGGGGAAGGCACACACTCAGCAAATGGGGACTAACCAGCACAGATGCTATTAAACCCAGATGTATCTTCTCACGGGTGGCATGAGGATGGGAGAAACAAGTCAGTGAGTCTCACCCTGAGTGGGGGTGGATGTCAAAATAACCTACACAGCTTTTTAAACTGCACCTCCCCTCCCTTTAAACATCACTGATACGCTGAGCCACTAATCTGGAGGGGATGTGTTGTATTCCTCAGGTGTGGGGGCAGAAAAAAGGTTGGGAACCACTGATCAAGAGATCAGCATCTGGCGGAAACAGCTGGATGAATAAGCAATGCTGATTCCCTCCCTTGTAGCCTTATGCTACCTCCTTTAAATTCCAAGGAAGACCCCTCCTAGCTTAAGTATTCTGGGAGGTGACAAGTACCTTTGGCCACCATGTTTTGCGTTTCATGTATGGGATATACACCAATGAGAAGAAACAAAAGAGAGAAGTCAAGATACTATTAATCTAGAGGCAGTAATAATAGTAATGTTAAAACTGAATGTTCTGCATCAGGCTGGTGGTTACACCTGTATGTATGTAAAAAATTTATCAAGCACAACCCTAAGATGAGGGCACTTTATTTACTTTACTATGTGTTACCTTCAATTAAAAGAAAACAAGCAAACAACAACAAAAACCATTTTGTTGCCTTAGACCACATTCAAAGCTATATTGAAATTTATGCAAGACTTCCTCAGAATGCATGTGCAAATGAGGCCTTTCTGGCCACCCCACTTACAG